ACCCTGGCCGCGGCGCTCTTCTACAGTGACGGGAGAAGCTTTTGATGCCGGCAACTTTAACGTGTCTGGTTGAATCCGTTCGCGTTGATGGATCTACTGTTTTCACCGAGGTCACTGTACTCAACCCCGCGGTGCACGCCGCAACAAAGCCTTCGTGGAATTGATTGAGGAAATATTGCACAGTTCACTGACTTGTATCGCACGCCATTATGCCCTTTGTAATGCATGGGGATCAAAATTATGAAATATCATGTGACCCATGTGGGATCTATTCAGCGCTATCACAAAACTCCCATTGAAAAACGCTCAAATGGCTTCGCGTGAGGCTGCGTACGGAACCATATGGACGCCTCCACATCTCCTCATTTCATACATGTTTCTTTTGACATCAATAATGCCTCGGTATCCAGTGGCGTCTGGAACGCATCCAAAACAATTATAAAGTTGCCGTGGAAACTGAGGTCCTGTGCCAGGGCGAGGCATACTGTCTCCGCTCAGATAACCACATGGAAAGTCACAGCAAACAAAGCACTTGACAGGGGTGCTGAAATGGGAGGAATGGAGGGAGGGAAGGGAGGGACGGGCAGAGGTGAAGAGACAGAGACGGAATAACAAAAGTGGTGAAGAGTCGGACATCGACCAATCAGGGGAACCGACTCAGTCGATTAGGATTTTTTTTGGACGCATCATTCTGTGTAAAGCGGCTGAGGTTTTCAGATCCGTTCATCTGATCATTTTCTTTCCTTTTTCCATAAACCAGTTATTTTGTCGACAAAATGAAGAAAACTGTACAACAACAAATGTCATAATTCTGACTAAGAAGATCACAGAGACAAGGACAGAAGAATAAAAGTCCAGAGAATGGAGTAATACACGCAGGAGTACAGAGTAATACAGTTTAAAAAATTAAATAAAAAATACAAATTTAGATTCCTTCTCGTACCACTAGAGGGAGCCCAAGTAACTAAGCATACTATAGTTTGAGAACCACAGTTTTACAAAAACACTTGGTCAGACTGGGTTTGAGTGCCTCACAGTTCATGAATATTTCATAAATATTTGCAGTAATGAAATGTTGTTTATATTAATGAATAGACTGTTAACTACAGAGCACTGAGTCAGAACAGACTGACTCTGTTCTCCACTGTAACGTCTTCCTTAGAAGACAAGCCTTAATGTAACGTGATTCCAGACACACTTGGACAAAAAAAAAAAAAAAAGTATTGGTTCATTACTGCAACACTGGAGCCGTGGGTCTGACTTTAACACTGATTTATAAACACACTGTGAAGAAAAGCCCAGTGATGTGTCGCTACATGAGCAGTTATTACAAGGGAACGTCAGATGTAGGTTGAGAATCAGTTTTAGGTTCGAGGTTCACTACAGGGTTAAGTTCAAGCAGGTGATATTACAGCGTACTGCTGTGTGTGTGTGTGTGAGTAAGGATTATTATGGCAACAGAACACACCAGCCATCAGTGACACGCTACTGTGTGTGTGTGTGTGTGTAACACTGGGACTGGAGTAATGTATTGTAACCTTATGCTAACCTAATGAACAAGAGGATGAAAGCGGTGTAATGGAGGCGTTTTTACATTCATCTTTAGTGCTCCTCATTATGCGCTGAATATGACAAGCTCGTTAGGGGTGCACGAAAGATTACCCATGTGGGTAAAGAGCACCACCTTCATGAAAATAAATAAATAAAATAGAGCAAAAAAAAAAATATTACACAAACAGAAAATGAAAAGAGCAAAAAAAAATATTACACAAACAGAAAAACTCTAAAACAGGTATAAAAAAAATGAACTCACACTGTATAAACACACATAAAGGAATGCAGACAAACACACACACACACACACACACACACCAGGAGTGTGTGAAACCCCCTGGTGGGCCAAACTGGATGCAGAAAAGAGGAGTTGACTGGCTCTCAAAGAACCCTGAGTGTCCTGTCTGTTTATTCAGATGTCTGCAGAGAGCGCCACCACTTTGAGGGTAGTTGCATTACAGTGCTTTTGATCTCACTGATGAAGAACACAAGGGGTCAGGGATTAGGTCAGCGGTCAGTGGGAGACGACGGACCCTAACTATCAATAAGTTCAATTCATATGTACATATATTGATGTATATGTATATATTGTTAATGGATGTGTGAATTCAACTTCTATAGAGAGTAAAGTGCAAAAATGTATAAATATATATATATGTGTGTGTATATATAGTATATATTTATATCTGTTATTCCAGGTCACTATAGGGAATTACTGTAAGATGAATCAATTAAAGCGTGTTTTAGTCGTCTGTGCCTGAAGTGTCAGCAGATCTGTGCTCCACTCTTCATTTGTTCTCATTAGTGTTTCTTGGAGAGAGAGAAAAATCAGTAGCGCTTGAGGAAATCAGGTAATTTATATTCACAAATAAGGATAGCAGGCCAAACGACGTCATGTCATTTGTAACAGAGTAGCAGATATGTGTGTTTGTTGTGTGTGTGTTTGTGTGTATGTGTCGTTCTATGTGTGACTATTTTGTTTTACAATGAAAAGGCAAATTCTGCATTAGTCTTAGTAATGGCCACGAGGCCTCTAGCATCATTAGCTCAACACTGCTCTCCAGTGGATATAAAGTATAATGGCCGGCCCATAAAGTTCAAGTGCACATCAGCTGTGTGTAAAGGTTTTATGCCCAGACAGAGGATGATGGTTAGCGCTGGCTGTAACAAAACAGGTCACAGTCATCTGTTCTACAGACCTGGCCTCCAGAACAGGCTGGATTCACTTTGTTCTGCTCGTACACCGTTGTTAACAGTACACAGTGGTGTAGTACTGCAATACTACTAACTGTGGACTCAACTTGGACTTGAGGATATTGACTTGAAGACTTAGATGGAACTAACTCTTTTCATTCAGATTGTGACTCGATACGTAGACATTTGACTGGGATTCAATTTGACAATTCAGTGACTTGGACTCTTTAGCAACTTGACTCTGACTATGGGCTTGAAACTTGACTTCACTCTCAACATTTTTACTCACAAAAAATGTATTTGTTAAGAAGGACATCCAGAGACAACAATAACTTCACTGAATTATTAGGAAAGTATAGTAAAGCTACTCACCATAACACACGACTGGAGGAATACTTGACACTAACGTTTTTAAGCTATCAAAAGTCAATCTAACACTAAAAAATGGACGATATTATAAAAGCATTTTATCACGGCCTTAAAAAATCTAGTGGTATTGAGTCATCTGAATGACACGTGAATTTAAAAAAAAAATATTATTTTATTTTTTATTTTTTTAAACTCAACTTCTGCACTGCATCAACATTACTAGTGTTAGGATAAATATTAATCCAACGTCGCCGTGACTACTTTACATTCTCGTCTGTCATTGGTGCGTGAAAGGCGGGACGTATCTCAACCAATCAGATGGAATCTTTATTCCACACGTTCCGTAGCTGGAGTCGCCCTGTTATTCTACGTAGCAGGTGGACTAGCGGTGAGTATTGTTTGCTTTAACATGACTTTTGTCATTTAAAATTATCACCTTTGAGTTAAATCTCAGATACGGAGCTCAGTGGTAGAGACGTGTTGACCTGTTTACAACGGCACCGTCAGACATAACGAGTAATGCCATGGAATGTTTGGACTGACCTAGATAATTAAAGATGGGCGCTGGGCTTCGTTATTAATGTATGAGTACACACAAAAACAGAGACAGTGTTAGCCTTAGTAACGACAGTAAGCTGTCGCCTGTAGAAGCTGTCGCCTGTACAGACAGACTGAGACACAGACAGACTGAGACACAGACAGACTGTTGGAGAATGTCTGGGTCGCCCACCATGTTGTTCTGCATCAATTCCTCCCTCTGCCTGTGGATGTGCTGTTTCACTTACACCTCATATAAATGCACACAACGTTGAACAAGTACTGCGGCTTCACCTTCAGCTCACTGGGAGATTATACAGACACAGAACGATTATTAGATAGAGTAAAAAAAAAACCCTGCAGACGTTCGTCTCTCTGTCCATTTGTTTATGACTGTCACCTTAACCGACACAAGATGGCGCCAGATTCCCGTTGTAAACATCACATCTTTCAACAGGTGTCACTCCAGGCTGATAAAGATGAACATGTACTCTCTGCCCAGCCAGGGAATACCAGGCTGTCCGCCAGGGTTAGAGTACCTGACGCAAGTAAGTACCAATGTTTATCATTCTCTCGATATATACAAACTGTCTGGATGTCGAGGATTCTTCAGAAAGTTGTATATAAAACACAAAAACAACACATTTTAATCATGTGAAAAATTACCCAAATCTGGAGAAAAAGTAAAAGAATGTTGCAGCCGTTCAACCCTCTTAGCAGCTCAGTAAACTGCTAGTGAATGTAATAATAATATAGTGAACTGCTAGTGAATGTAATAATAATATAAACATCTGCAATATTTTATTATTGAATACACATGGGCGTCATACCGCGATGTTACCTCCAGGCGGCGCTGTTTATCGTTTATTACTTTCCTCGTGAGAGGCAGAGAACACCGAGCCGTCACTCACTACTGCAGTGGCTTGTGGGTAACTGCCCTTCAACTCTATCGGATAACATTGATTTTGACTTAACGAAGCACATCGATTGAGTCACAGTGAGTTAAAGGCTTAGCTTTTTATCCAGCTAATGTCTTTTTACTTACACAGTCTGTGTGGAGATAGAACCCTGATGACCTCCCAATGAAAACAGTTGGATTAATTAAACTCGAAGTAATTAAATTTACAAAAGTAGCCAGAAGAACACTCACTAGAGTCCAATGCATTTGCTTTAGCTTCAGGCTTAGTATATTATTATATTATTTAATTTTGGATTTTTTTTATCTCGATTTTTTTTTTTGCTCCCTAGTGGTCAAGTATGGAATAAAAAAAACTCTCATTATTAGCCTCTCATTATGTGTATTTATATTTGATTTCCTAGGTGGATCAGCTGCTCATCAAACAGAAAGTAGAACTTGTTGAAGGTAAAACTTCATCGGCGTAGTAACACCAAGTATCCGCTCGGTTCATAATGTGCGTATTACTCTGAATACGTGCCTGTTCTGTCTCTCTGCTTCCACTGCAGCTCTGGTGGGGTTTGAAAGCAACAACAAGTACGAAGTACGCAACTCCATGGGTCAGAACGTTTTCTACGCCGTAGAGGAGAACGACTGCCTGAACCGTCAGTGCTGCGGCCCACTGCGCCCCTTCACCATCCACATCATCGACAATTTTGGACAGGAGATGATCACGGTCTCCAGACCCCTGAAGTGCATGTCCTGCTGCTTCCCTGGATGTTTGCAGGAAGTGAGTGGAGCCTTTAACCAGAGTCTGTGACCGTTCAGGCCTCACATCTTCTGGCTTTTAACACGTGTGTCATAAAAGAGTTTCTGCTGAAACATCATGCATCTTTGTTCTCCCACAATCCCTCACTCAGCTGGAGGTGCAGTCACCCCCCGGTAACACGGTGGGATACGTTATACAACAGTGGCATCCGTTCTCGCCGAAATTCATCGTTGCAAACGAGCACATGGAGCCCGTTCTGAAGATCCACGGCCCGTTCTGTGGATGGAGCTTCCTCCCCGATGTTGACTTTGACGTGAGTTTAACCAAACAATTCTCAAGTATTTGTGTCACGGTGAAACCCCAGCTCTCTAGGGAAGAATGGGGGTAATAATTACAGTGTCCACTGTAGCTAAAGTGAAGCCATTACAGGTCAAGGACATGCACTGGTTACAGAGATCAGCATTAGCTCAGAGTTGGAACAGTGGTAAAAATACTTCTTTTACCAGATCCAAAAAATAATCATCCAACTTTTCAGTTTCTTTTCTGCTGTGAAGAAAGATCTGAAACAACTTCAGGATAAAATGTCTTTTTAAAAAATAAAAAAATGTCTCTAAGAGATTAAACTTTAAGTTGGCCCTGAAGAGACAACTATAAGGTAGCAGACCAGTATGGCAGAATGGGTTATGGTCACATTCCCTCCGGCTCTGCAGTCATCACTGTGGTCAGTGTGATGTTTGGACCACAGTGACTGTGACATAAACCATCAGACTGTTCCAACAGAACCACAGTTTCATGCTCTCATCTTCGTCCTAACACAGCAGACGACGTGTGTTTGTCTCCACAGATTCTGACCATCGATGAAGTCAGCAAGATTGGCAAAATCAGCAAGCAGTGGTCGGGCCTGATGCGGGAAATATTTTCAGATTCCGACAACTTTGGAATCCAGTTCCCCATGGATCTGGACGTGAGGATAAAGGCCGTCATGATCGGAGCGTGTTTTCTTATCGTAAGTGAAGTACCCAGCCTTATAACACATGTTCATTACCAAATATAGAAGTTTCCATTACTGGTGGAAGCCTGTGAACCAAAACCAAAACCAAACGACACCAAAAAGGTAAGAAAACAGTTACAAACCCAAGAGCTACAAAAATAAACACAAACTTTGACAAACAAATATCTTACAGGTAAAACTATATCTGTCAAATTAATGTTAAAGATTTATCTGAGTTTAAATTAAAAGATAAAAATATTGCAAAGATGTATATATGTGTATATGTATGAAAATATTTCAAGGCAATATTTCTTTGCATGGATGATATGAATTTCTGCCAGTTCCAGAAATATCTTTCTTTATTCTGTCCACAGGATTTCATGTTTTTTGAGTCAACCAACTAGGGACCAACTGGGGTCGAAATGAAACCTCAACCAAGCCATGATGGAAGCCCTCACATCCAACAACCATCAGACAGTTGGCTGGAACCATGTTCCAAATTCACATGAACAACGAAACAGGAGGTTTGTTTTAGTCTCACTGAAATATGTCACTGGGCTTCGAATAAGAAATGTTTAAGTCGTCTTTGTTTTTATAAGATAAAGGTTTACTTTTGTGTTTAGCAGACAGGTAACTAAAGAACGTGGGGGGGAAGGGGGGGGGCAGATTAAGCTGAGAAACAGGGAACATTTTGTTTAGCCGTAATTCTTGTGTTATTTTTTGTGTTACAGGAAAAAAAAATACTTCTGAACCGTTTTGATTTTTAAGTGCATGAAGTGACGTTCTTTGTTTACATTTAAAGGTTGTTTTAAAGGCAGAATGTATTTATTATTAGTTGTAGCAAAACGTTTTGACTGATTTAAAAAGTAGAGAAGTGAAGCGCATTTAAGCACCCCCTGCTGGGGAGGTGCTAGAGGTGTCTGCTTTCTCTACCTTTGGGTCTTACCCCAAGAAGCACTCTGTTTGTAGCTGCAGTATAGTTTCCTTCGACCAAAGTGTCTCTTGTATTTGCAGTAGTTTCTTGCTCTCGTTTATTGATTCATTCCTTTGCTGTTATTTATTTGTGTGTGTCTGTGCTGCAAGTGCACTTGTGTATTTACTGTACTGTAAATATAAAGTCACCCTATATATGTCTGATGCATATTCAGACTGCATAATCTGCCATCCCGGTCTCAGTCCACAAGAGGGAGCTCTCCTTCTACCTTAGTAAAACTCTTAAAAGTCCCAAACGAACTGATTCACTACTTGTGCCACAGGTTTTGCTTCACACACACGCGCGCTTGTGCAGTATATTTTTGGACAAACTCAGGTTGAAACTGGAAGGCAGGCTACTGTAACACAGTGTAACTGCTCTGCTGCTGCGTTCACGTGTTACTCGCTCCGTGGTGGCCCAGTCTTGTTGATTAGAGTCTATTTTGGAGGATGTTTTGTAAATGAGCCTGTTTTCAAATGACATATTTTGCCTAACGTTTTGCAGTGTTTCTGTGCTACACTGTTCAGGAAGTTTTGTTGTTGTTGTTGTTGTTGTTTACGTTGTGCAACAGCTTTTCACTGATTAGCCATATAAAAGACGAACATAATTGCCAACCGTATGGACACCAAGTAGAGATTTACAGTACTGTGTATTAAATCTACTCTGTTCTACTTCAACAACAATTGTACAGTGATAATTAAAAAAAACATATTTGCTTGAAATTTGTGAAATATTTGGAATAATGTTTAGGGATACGGGGGTCGGGAGGGAGAGGTACAGTTTGTGTCAAGGTCAAAAATATGACTGATGATTTCATAAATAATAATTACCAAACCCATAAAAAGTCTCCCAAACAGGAGCTCAATACATTCTTTAAATACTTCACGAGAAGATTCTTTTCACTAATACAATGATCTATAATTAAAAATGTTGGCAACACTAGTTTAAAGAGACTTTATACATGGTACACTGTACATCCTGATACTAAAAAAGCAGGTTTCATTGAAATATATATCATTTTTTTAAAATATATAATTTTATATTTGCAACTATAGCAGAATTGGCCTTAAATGTAGGAGTTTTTTCAAAATATTTTATTTCTTAGAATGCAGTACTAATTTCTTCCACTGTTAGCGCTGTCAACCTGGCAACTAGTGAAGCTAAATCCATATGTGATAAAAAAAAACCAACTTCTTCCATGTGTGTCTGTTAAACCTGGTGGTGACTGAGACTCACAGCAGTGAGGCCTCGTTAACACTCCGTTAAACCACTGTTCATTAGTGGACACTGAAACTGAAACAAACTGACCCAGAGTCTGCTCCACCCACGCAGTAACTGTAGTCACCGCCCATGTCACAGCTGCACCAGAAGGTTAACAAGAAATTAACTCTAAACTTTTAATACAAACAAGAGTTTATTTTAAGGCCACACACCTCTGAGGTTAAACCTTTGAATGAAACATTTAAAAACGTCCTTGTACAGTGGCAGGTGTCTGGTTCTGTTCTGTTCTGTACAGTACGTCAGAGCCAGCATTCTGTTTGTTTGTTTGTGTAGGCGGACTGAATGACTCTACCACAGAGTTTTACTAATGATGTTACATTCAGGGAAGTAATTAGCTGCGGGGGAGTGACCGTGATGAATCCTTTGATGAAAAGAGAAGAAATTAAAGTTATTTTCTTTTCTTTTGTTAGTTTGTCATAACTATTGAATTAGAATCGGATGAACGTGAACGTCAAAGTCAGCAGGAGAAAGAGGAGAGAAGTGGTGAGGCGGAGCATGTTAAACGGACATCCAATCATAGTTAAAGTTTGTGCAGCGATGGGGGGAAAACAAAGATGATATAAGGCCGACAGAATATTGTCTGACCAGAACACATTTGGATTTATATAAATATATAGTCAGCAAAAACAAGACTTACTGTAAGGACTCTACTTCATAGCAGGAACATATTGTACATTTCTGGATTTGATCACAAATTATAGAGTGAGTCTGTGGAATGAACTGAACACCCTGGTCCTGGTGTCATGACATCAGTGATTTGCTGGCTGAGAGAAACATCCCAGAAGGAAAAAAAAAAAAAAAGCCAACAAACCAGATGTGTTCTGCCGCTCCAGTGTGTGGGACTTTGTTCTGTGCGACAGCAGATTTTATGACACTCTCTTGTAATTAGCGTCATATTAAAGCAGTGCATCTTGTAAACAGTATAATGATCTTGTCCAACATCTCGTTAAAAGTAACACCATTTATTTTTACGAAGGACTTTGAACTGGAGACTCTCAGGAGACGCAGAGGAATAACAATAAAAGACGCTTCGACAAACTCGACCACAGTGACTGAAGGAGACGCACAAGCTAACGACGTGTTCCACCGCATCAACATCACACTCACTTCCTCACACAGTATAACACACACTCTCATAATAATACTCACTGCTCCGATCCACTGAGTGCATACATCTGTCAGACAGTGTGGGTTTGTCCACTGTGAGTGAAAACAATAAATAAATATGTTTGTTTTTTTACTTTTGGTTTGTCTGTTAACTTGCTTTTTTTTTTTTACTTTTGGTTTGTCTGTTAACCTATGGGTCGTCGTTGAGCTAGTTTAGCAGTCCTGTAGTGTAACTGTTTTGGCCACATATGTGTTTGTTTGCATTGTCTTTGCGTCTAGGTGGTATTTTAAATTAAAAAAAAAAACATTTTACTGAATATTTTCCTGTTGGGTAATGGTAATATTTTTGATGTTTACTTATTAGTGTTTTAACAGTTTTTCTACCGTCCTAGAATATTTTACTGTTGTGAAACTTAATCTACCTTTTGAACAAAAACATTTGTTGTTTCAGAATCAAAATACTGTGTCTGTCAGATACAGGTGTTTCTTTCATGATAAAAATCTGTCCTGAAAAAGGCTGCCATACAGTTTAGTGGAATTTGTGGTATCATTAGTTCAAGCCCAGTTGTGATAAACAAATGGTTGAAGCAACATCTGTGCAAACAGAGCTTAGAAAAACAGCAGAACCAGGAGACCAACAACAGATGTGGTGAAAACTGGGGGCTAGTTATTTGCTTTTGCACCAACTTCAGTCACAACAACTCAGGGAGAACAAACACAGACTACAAACATTTCAGGAAACACCACAGCAGTGTGTTGCTGCACGATAATATGGAATGCATGAAAGGACCAGACTTTAAAAGGAGATAATTTCATTGTTTTTTTTAGCGATTCTGCAGAATTCAGAGGAAACATCTGACCACTGATCAGCTTCTCAGCAGATGGTCTAAAATCTGTCAATAATTATGATTAAAAAAAGCCCAGAAATAGGTAAAATTACCCCAAACATAGAGCAAAAAAATCTTTTGTAAAGCTAGCTTCCATAAAGCTTAAAGTAAAACACAAAATCACCTAAACCAAATAACAGTAAAACAATAATATATGTAAACAAAAATAAAATAATCTAATGTAAGCTTAGAATTAGCAATGAGTTAGCCAAAATGATGTAGCTAATTTCAGCCACATGCGTTTTTCTGGAGGTCTGTACTGCATTACTTTACTTCTACTGGATGTGGACAAAACCCACCACATTTCTTTCTAAATCAAATGTTCAGTGTGTGCGGCAGCAGCAGAGTGGCAGTGGAGGATACATTCAAGGTTGATTTCTCTTCTCCTCGACCTACTTGTGGTGTTTTTTGTGGAGCCTTGTGGTTTCAACATGGCCGCCTAATGATGACATTCACATGAACAGGCTGAGGAGAAAGGCTTCATTATGTGTAATTTTCAGAAAACACAGCCCCTGCACAGCCCTAACCCCCACGCACACACACTCATCCTCCTCCATCCCCACCGTACTTTGGTCTAATCAGTGACGCGGCAAATTCTTCTTTGAAAAATTACCGACAAACATCTTTGTGAGCACATTCCTTCAGGATTAACGGTAATTTTCTGCTCCGGTCTTTATGGTAAACTCAGTATGAAACAATAGATGAAAGACCACCTGTGAACGAGGTTCATTAATACACGTCTCAGCGCTTTCCTTGATTTTTTTTTGGTTTTTTTCCACACCCACAGAGGTGACACGTATTCTACTCAGCTTGTTATAGCTCTCTGTTCTAAGAGGAGCTGCTGAAATGGCCTGATTTTTAGTCAACACTGGGTTTAATTCTTGTTTGTTTCTGGCCTAACATTTGACTAGTTTGTTATCTTTTAGCTGCGATTCATCATCTTTACTTCTTTACAGCCTTTATTCCCTGATCTTTTTATACTATTTTTCAGTGCATGGTCTTAGCTTTTCTAATTCCAGTACATTTGCTTATTTCAACTTCAGACCAACTTCACATTTTTTAAGAGCAAATTATTAGAGTATGAAGTTACAGATCAGCAGTAGGAGAATAAAATCACTTTGGAAGTCTTTTTCCTTGTCACTGAGATGACACGTACTTAACTGAACTCGGTCAATCCCTCCGCTCTAAGAGAAACTACTGAGTTGATGACAACCTTCAGACCACACCACAACCCGATGGACGTCCTGTGGCCTGGTAGTGGAGCTGGTGCAGCCCGGCCGCTGATACGGTCGAGTTCTTAGAGAGAGATGAGTCGTGGTAAAGGAAATGAATGGCCTCTCCACTGACCTGCAGTAGTAATTAGAGTGATCAAAAAAAGGCATTCTGGGGGTAAAAATAAATCCCATTCTTTTTACAATCACAGTGCAATTGTGGCTCCTCAAACAGAGCCTCAGGAGGCCACGTGTCTAGATGGTATGATGCAGCAGTGCAGCGGCAGAACCCAAACAGCAGTACCACCAGAGGGAGGTTCAAATAGAGCAGAGAGACTCTGAAGGTGTGGCTCAACCACTGACAGTGAGTTTGGATAAAACGTTCCCTAAAGCATTGTTAAAGCACAATTTAAGGGAAAATGTTTCCAAAAATACTTGAATATAATCATACAAATGATGGGGAATTGTCGGGTTTGACTTTCCCATGTGAAACTTATTCAACCTTTAGGGTTTTTTAAACATCCACTATTAGGAATCTACTTTTGTCTCCCATGTGAATCATCTGTTTCTTCTCTCAGTTTGATTATATTTAAACGGTGCCTGTAAATGTCCACGCAACGGCGTCAGAAATAGATGCAGTTTCCCCGTCGCCAAGGAGGCTGCAACACTGTTTAGTTTCGGGCTAATGCAAAAGACAGTGGAGGCTGCAGGGCGGTGTGTCTGCTCAGAGCCTGAAATGAGCTCAAATTAAAAAGCAGGAAAAGAAAAAACTGTGCCACCTGAGCTGCAAGAACACGTCCAGAAGTCGATGTCTTCTTCTGCCGTCGGTCAGGGAGAAGCAAAATAGGTACAGCTGCTGCAGAGATTCTCCACATGTACGGACAGCGTGTCCTGCATGTCAGTTACCAGGGGACGGTCGGTCAGGGAGAAGCAGAGATTCTCTACATGTACGGACAGTGTGTCCTGCATGTCAGTTACCAGGGGACTGTGGAGCTGATGGAGCCACATGGGTGTGTTACCATACTGCAGAATAAAATGTAGGATGAGCCACCAGTTTGGTTTGGGCCCCATCAGATGTGGGCTACAGTAGCTGGGTGATCACTCTATATCAGTGTTTCCCAAACATTTTTTCTGGGGACCCATATTTTAAAAGTCACAAATCTTCAATTTGACAATAAGTATCACTCACGTTTTAAACATCACCACAGGTGGAGCTTTTAAACTGGCAGCTAGTTTGATGTTGGATGCAGACAGCAGTTGCGATGACCGTGAACTCCTGGGAAACATGATGTAAGACGACCGAAAAAAAAAAATTCTTGCGACCAACCTGAGGGTCACGACCCAGTCTTTGGGAAACAATGCTCTATGTGAGCTGAATGATAAAGATAGACAGTAAGACCAGGTCCAGTCTCTCTGTGCTTTTACTGAACATGGAAGTTTCATTATCGTAGTACGTTTTATACTGACGATATATGAGCCTTCACCAAACTCCTCACTTAAAACCATATGAAAATGAACTCCGTCCTCCAGGCCCACCACTCCAATATAAGGACGATCATATAACTTCTTGACGTTTTAAGATGATGTCATCAAACTCAGACAACAGTCCATGTACTTTACTTCGTCTCCTTAGATTTAGTTTCACAAATACCTTTTTATTCTTCAGGCCAGGAGGCCGAGGTACTACTGTACATTTTCAGCCAATTTAAGGATTTAAACCTTATAACATTTTTTTATTTTCTTTCCTGGCTTAAAGTGCTTCTTTATGAGATATACAGCCATGCTGCATCATTTAAAGGTGCCATCAACCTCATTAGACACCAGTGGCTACTATTAACTTAATGGTCTGTTACGCGAAGGTTCAAACTCCTTAGCCAAGAAATTAGAGAGAGTTCTCTGCCATGGCCACATTCTCTGAGTTCAACAGAACCCCACTGGAAAAAAACAGTTTATCTCATAAACCAACCTAGCTCCTTCTCCCTCTGTAACCACAAACCCGGTGATGTCATCGAGTAGAAACAGTCTGGGCTGGCAGTCACACATCTGCCATGCGAAGGGTTTTGCCACAAAGCTGCAGCAGCCAAGGGGCACGTCTGATGGTTGTATTAAAAAGGTAAAGAAACGAGTACATTTCAAAGGAGGACACGGGGAGACGCAGACACGAGTCGACAGCAAATGGAAGTTCGATTTTAAAGCCTGCTTCTGCTCCGCTCGTTAGTTTTCCCTGGTGAATGTGTACAGAGCTGCAGCAGAGTGAGAGCAGCTCAAACATCTGCAGAGTCTCTGTTTTATATACATGTCCTGTCAGCTGATGAGGTCACGAGGTTATCTGCTCCTCAGTACTGAGAGACTACGCCAAGAGGAGCCAAAGTAACCCCGTAAACAACAGTTTTAAGGTGAAATAACTTAGTTTTTGTCATTTATCCCGTTGTTATATACTGTATGGGTTGAGCTAACACCTTCCCCCACTAGAGGTCTACATACAGGAGATACAAGATGAACGATTGTCAACTTGTCATAGAGCAATAACTCACCCAAATCCACACCTTTGTACAATTCAGATTTTGCTGTAAATCTTTTCTCCATTTTTTATTCTAGGTTCTTGGAACAAAATCCATGCACATTTAGGAGATAAAGAGTGAGATAATAAGCAGATGTCTGGTTTTGAACGATTATATACTGTAAGTGATAATATCTAACAAAGAATATCCAGCAATGAAGTTCAACCTTCAAGTTTCACTGACAAAGTTCATCCTGGGTTTAAACAAGGACGCAGGTCATTAAACAAGAGGAGCTCTGTTAGTTAGTTAGTGTTTATCAACCAGGAGGTGATGACCAATTTACTGAGCAATCTTGCCTCCGAGAAGCACGTCTGTTACCAGACCTCTACGGAACATTTCCTGTTTTTCCAATTTTCAGTTGACTTTCAGTTTTGAAACACTGAGAAACAAAATGCAATTTTCACTGTTATCAAGGTGTTATCACTGCTGTCAGTCCAAGACTTTTATTTTCACTCACTAGTCTCTTAAAGAAAATTGCCTGCAAAAAAAACTCAAGGCGTTATCACTGCTGTCAGTCCAAGACTTTAGAAAGAAATGACTAAAAACAAGTATAGAAAACTAATAAACTAGCACTAGCAAAACAGATAAAGGTTAGCCATGAATCAAAAGACATTAACCAAAGATTAGGCAAAACATATATATCAATATTGAACTCAATGATTCACTGTGGCAACCCCTGAAAAAAGGGACAAAGCCGAAAGGAAAAGAAGAAGAAGAAGATATATATCAACATTAGGCCAAAGAAGTATCCATGACTGTACTGAGTGATGGCATTAACACAGATGAAAATGCAGAACAAAGTTATTAAAATTAAAAAAAAATTTTTTTTTTTTGAACATTTTGTATTCTGGTGAAACTCCTGCTCACGTGGAAACCGAAACCAGTTGTCTGGGCCCACAGACACGCACAGTCTCTCACGTACACCGTTTAGAAATGGTGATGTCACGCAGTCAACACTAGAGGCACTGCCTTCTGGTTTTACTCTCACCATTTTATGCCCTTTAATCATAAGTCCATTTGGTGATGGTCATATGGGGAACAAATTGAAAGCTTGAGCTGCGGCACCAGCTAATCTTTGGCTTGGATTTACTGTATTTACATTTTGACAAAGGGACTTGTTACAGTGTGTATAAAATACTGTAAATAAAAAAAGTCATAAACGTGACGTGCCTTTTCGTGGAGGCTTAACGTGACCTATGGGGGTCCAGTTTGTGCTGGGTTTGTTTGGGTTGGCTTTTCAGCACTGCATCTGGTCTTTGTTGGAGAAGAGGAAAAATAGCCCTGGCGTACATGGATGTGTTTGCATATCTGAACACAGGGCTTCATCAGTGTCACCAGTGTGGCAGATGATGGATGACTGGCCCTGGAAAGCAGATAATATGGGTCCAGAGCGGATGCTGCAGTTACAGACTCTCACTTTTAGCTCATCTCACAGGAGAACACATTCCATTAGTCTCATCCGTGAAGTTAAAGTGAAACGTTGCAACATAAACTGAGGAATTTTTTTATAAACACATAACTGAGAACTTTATAAATTATGTCCTTTCTCTGGCTCCTCGTTTCAGGCGTGGTCACAGAGAAACATTTGGTCTGAAATCTTCAGGACTTTTACTTCCCTTTGTCTCCATTGTATTTTCTTTTCTTTCTTTTTTTTGCCTTGCAGCTCTACAGTATCTTCTCAGCACATGTTTAAACCCAAATGAGAATCTGTGAGACAGGTATTAATGTCACTACATTTATTTTTATTTTTTTTAATTTTTCTAAATCCATAAGAACTTAGATCAGAACTGATTTCAGTTTTTATATGAGAAAGTCTACAGCTAAGTCATTTTCTCTGACATAAACATGGCTTGTTGCTACAGCTGATTTTCTCTGACATAAACATGGCTTGTTAAAGTGTTAAAATGTAATATGAACTTTTTTTTTACTCTCATTTTGTCTTAGAACTTTTTGCTCTTGTACATTAAAGCAGAACTCCTGTTTTTATGATTTAGTTTAACAAAAAAAGTACATTTTTACTTTAAAAACTAACTCCTGCCGAAGAAAATGGGAGTCCATGATTTTCATTACATCAGCACAGCTGCTCACTGATTGGTCTGACCGGCAGGAGCACGTCCAACACGGGATAACCCGGTGCAACCCCCCACCCGCTGATGGATAGCTTTATGCTCCACTTTCTCTTCTCTCCTTCTAACTTTCACGACTCTACAAAGTCCGAGCACGACCGCGTGTTCCTCCGACACCTCCTCACCCTCTCTCCTCTGCTCCTCCACCTCCATGCCTCACTCCTCGTGGGCTGTAACTTCTGCCGGAGCCCAAGTGGCTGCAGTTGCAATTAGGGAACCACGCCTGGTGCTCTCTAATTTCCCCTGAATTGCAGTACTTAAAGGACCCCCGCCTGGGGAAAGAGAGTTGTCTGAGGACCTGCTTTTTCCACATCCATCGACTGGGTTGGTTTCCTCTTTATTTATTTTATTTTATGTAGTTGTTTTTTTAAATATATATATTAACAGCGTCCCTCCAGGGTTGGTCCAGCTCTCTGCCCGGGGACACAACTACAGCCATGGAGTACCTCAAGTTTTGTTTTGTGTTTTCCTGCTGGATGAAGTTCGCAAACTCCGTCTTTTCCACCGAGGCACCCAACACCCCCGCTCCTATCCCCAAAGGTAAGACAGCGTTCCAGACTTTTCTCTTTTTTTATTTTTTTTACTGCCTGCTGTTGTTGTAGTTAGCCAGCTTGTAGCGGCAGTTAATCTCTCTGCCCTCTCTACCCCCCTCCACCGGTCAAAGCCGCCAACGGTCGTAACGTACAGCCTTCACACGTTGTTATCACTCGTAATCGAACAGTTCGGTCCACGTTTCCGAACGAGGTTATGTCCTGTGTGGGCTGTGTGTAATTTGCCGACGACATCATGTCACTCAGTGAGCAACATGGACAGACAGCCACGGCTTTTATTGTGTACATGTCTAGAAATTACATGACGGAGCCGCACACAACAGAACCGTCTGCGGTTTCTCACAATCCTCTTTTTATTCCTTCTTGTTTGGCGACCTTTATTTACATCAACACACGTCGGTTTCACTTAGACTCAGCCGACAATTTGAAGGAGAGAGGCCGCGGTGACTGACCTCGTTTGTCCCTAAACTGAAATCATGTCATGGCTTGTTTTGTGTACAGCTGCAGCTAAATTCACGCACCTGTGTAGCTGATTTAATTGGCTGTGGTGACTCAACTCGTTTGTCCCTAAATTAAGCGTAAAAGATATTAAGAAAACATTTCTGTTTTTTTAAAGCATTCTAAAACAGAAATATGTATATGTTAATTACAGTTTTTTAAACTTAAAGATAATTTAAACTGTTTGTTGCAATGTTTTAAGACAACGCCAAAAAGATGCATTTAAGAATGCAGAAAAAGTTAGTAATTGATTCTATTCTGAAACAAACAATTACGCACCATGGAGCCAGAGTCATAAAACTCCTAATATACTGTAAAGTGAAGGTTAGTGGAGCAGAGCCAAACCCAACCCACTCTTACTGCTGATTGTTACCTACACACGCTACTCATGTACGTGCTGTGTATTTACCCCCAAAGCTACAGGGAGGGAGGGATGTGTCACATCTTTATAGACTTGTCAGAAAATCCTCCGCTGTAAAACTGTGGTTTTTCTGCCCTTTATTACTCTTTAAATATATAATTTTTTTTTGCTTTTGTCTGAGTCACGTGGCATCTTGTAAAATCTTGTGTACACAACAATAGAACAGCAGGCGTGAGCTGCATGTTTGGGTATAAAGTCTGCAAATGTGATTTGTCTTTTCCATGCTGGGGCGGGGGGTGCAGTATATGTCTCACACACACACACACAGACACACACACATGCAGCTGGTCGCCAAAGTCTCCACAGACTCGTATTGTTCTCTGGTTGAGACTCGCTGTGTGTCCTCCACACAGCAGGCCCTTTAACTTGAACTTTTATTTTACGAGAGTTCAGCCTGGAAGGAGCCTATCATCAGGGAGGCGAGAACGTATGAATACTAACAGTAGACAGACGGCCAACAAGACTGAATACAGTCCCCTTGACAGCAGATGTCAAGTCAACTTTGACTGAGACCTAATTTACTACATTTGTCTCCCGCACCACAAGCCTCTCTAAACTTGTAAACTTGCGTAATGACACTCGGAGTACTTAAAATTGTATTTTTGCCATTCAGTACTGAACCATCTGTGTACAACAAAGGTGTTAGTTCTATATTATTCCAAATAAAAATGACTAAATACAATCACTTCTTTAACAACTACATATACAAAGATAAAACACACTGCTACAGTAATATAATTCTGAAGTGCCAAATACTGCAACGTTTCTGCGTCACTACTGTTGTTATTGGATTTATAATGTTAAAAAGACAAAAACAATACAACCTTCCATTACGTCCACTTCCAAAAATGTGACCTTGGACTCTGGCCATACACAATATTGTGAAAAAATACCATTTATGTCATACTTTTATTCAGAGGATTACTGAGTGACCATTGAGTTCTTTCCTAGTTTTAGTTTTTGTCGCCAACCATCATGTTGTGTGCGACCCCCTACTGGTGACTTTGATTGAAATTGCTGGCTTGCTGGCTTGAATCCCGACACTGACAGGATGTTTGTTTAGAAGACATGAAAAACTCATCCTCTGTTTGTCTGAATAATCTATCTTATAAATAAAGTACTTTGCATTTAATTCATTCAGAGATACTTGATGGCTTCTCGGGCATAAAAAGAATCACTGTAGATGTGTTTGAGCCAACAGGTAATCACAGTAGGACCAGGTACCGGTCATAAAAAGAATCACTGTAGATGTTACAGGTAATCACAGTAGGACCAGGTACCACACGGTTTCTGGAATTCTACACTTTTGACAATGTTGCAACAAACCATAAATTACACCCCTTAAAATTGATATTTAGGGAGATCGGAAATGTTTTATATTGAAATGCTTCATATATTTATTGGTCCATTTTAATAACTTTGTTGGACTTCTTTTGTGTGACTGTATGCCTTGTTGTTGGGAGATTCAGGTATCTAAAGGTGTGCAGTTGGACCTATTTTTATAAGGTCAAAGCTTCCCATAAACAGTTTGGAAATTCCTGTTGTGACTGACTTTGCCTTCAGGCAGGGACACATTGAATTACAAAGCCAATGTGCCGTAAGGTAACACTGTAAAGACTGAGTCGTTCTCCAAGAACATCGCACCTCTCCTCCGATTGTAACATGCATGTGAATGGTGCGATTCAGCAGCGCAACAAGGGCAAATAGAAGGGTAGAGCTCTGCCCGGTTCTCACCTAAGTGAACCTGGGGCAGCCTGTCAGTGAGAGCAGTGGACGTGGCTGCTGCACAGATTGGGAAAGTTACAAACATTGGGCGGCGTCCAGCCAGACTTCCCTGCCGTGTCAAAGGAGCCTTTCATTGATATCTCAGTGCAGGTGGGGGCTGCACTGCGCACACACTAAATGTGGGGTTTAACATGTAGTTAATGTTAAAGTGTGTGTTTGTGTGTTTGTGTGTGTGCTCACTTGCTGTGTATCTGTCCCCATGACCACGGGATTTATGCGTATCTGTCCCCATGACCACGGGATTTATTTCTGTTGTTTGGTTAAAATAGACTGAAGTAAATCACAGGTGAAGGGGCTCTAAGGTGTGGGAATAAAGCTGCCACTAGCTGGACGTGTGAGAGATCTGTTGATCTACATCAGACCTCGCTGCTGTTTTATATCCGCCATTATTTTTATCTCCTCACAGCCCTTTGTACTTCCAACAGTTCCGAGGGCACATTTCTTTGGGCAACGTTTATTGGAGTCTGAGACAAACACCATCACGATGCGGTCTGCCCCAGTGTATCATACGCTGGCGTTTTCAGTGAGACCTGTCCCAGACATCACTGACATGTCAACAGGCGGCATTTTATAGAGAGGCAGAGGAAACTCCACCTAACATTGGCCAAGCCTTATATACTATATAAAAGCTTTCTCCACTGCCCGTAATTCCAGACTAACAAACTAACAAACCCCGTTGGCAGGACGAGCCTGTAATCACATCTCAGTACATTGTCACTATATGACCACTAGGCTGGTTCCGTGCCTCGGTTTCAGCCAAATGTGATGTCTGTTCCTTCTTTCCTCGGCTCCCTCTCTCCTCTTTATGCCTGAGGTGTTTTCGGCCAACCATGAAACAGATAATCACATACAGCGCTTCATTCAGCGGACGTCCCATGATGCAATTCCTTCGTCTAATATTCCATCACTCTGACAGTAAACAGGGAACTGAGCAGCTGTTGATCTTAGTAAATGCTATTTGGCTGGATCTGGTGTTTAAACAGCTGTAAGACCAGAAGTTTCTAGATCCGTGATAATCTTCGAGGTCACAGCAGCATGTTCTGAGATACAATTATTAGTAGTAGCATTAGCAGCATGGTAGGAAGGATCATGATCAGGGCCTCAGAACTAAAGGTCTTTCAATTCTTGATGGAAAAATCACCACCTCCAAAATCCAGAAATATATAACATTATAACTGAGGATTAGCTGTGATGTAGCTACAGTTATTCTCAGATAACATTAAGCACAACAAGTGTAAAAATCCACTCTCCAAACTCCAACTCACTAGCCGTAAATAAATTGAGTGTAATACCTTCCATGAAAATATAATTTCACATTCAAATTGCACTGCTCTCAGCCTGAGACATACACCCTCAACAACACACACACACACACACACACAGATGACACAGAGCAGATGGAATAAGTTGTTTTTGCCCAATTACAGTTGTTGACTTTCTTTTTTTGGAACTCTGGGTAACTGAGCCATTTGAAAGTGACGTGTGACGCGACGGGAAAATTGTTTCCTTCCCCAGGGAGGGTGACACTGTACCACATCTGACGACTGGAGGACGGGTGGTTTGACACGTGTAATTGAAAACACACCCTTTTGTTGCAGATGTGTTTCACAGTCTGCTAATATGAAAATGATGTGTATTATCAGTGATGGCAACTGAGGCTCAACCTGAACTACTGGGTACAACCGACTGCTCTGACTGTGAGCAATTATAATCCCCCCCCCAAATCTGGTGACTACATGTGCATTAATGGTTGAGGGCCCACCTGCACACTGGACTGCTGTTTAAATCTGGTTGACGGCCCACCTGCACACTGGACTGCTGTTTTTTCAGACTGCCAAATTTGGTAACTGTGTGTTGGCAAGTTTTGGTGTAAAAAAAAGTCTTGGGTTGTGTTTAGTCTAGACAGGCAGGAAGAGAGCCTGGTGGAGAGTATGATGCTGACACCAACGTCTCCTTGGGTGTAATCACTAACAATTAGTTCATTACTTTATCAGTTTCCCAGGAAAGAAAACAGGATCAGAGTCTGCCGGAACAGAGGTCTCAGCTGTTGTGCGTGTGTGAGAAATAAAAGCGTTGGTGGGAACAATGAAAACGTCTCTCTGTCATGATGATTTTAGATAAAGACATAAATAAATCTGCTGTCAAGCACATCTGGGGTCTCTTGGTTTATGGCCATTAAAAACTGCTGCTTGTTGCTGCTTTGTCACAGCAACCAGTTGTGTTTGAAGCCTCCCAGCAAGTTCCTGTGAGCATTAGACCAGGAACTAAATCAATCTTTGAGAACCATTGTTTTAGCTTAGAAAATATTCCACTGAGGAAGGTCATTGCATGTACCTTACTGCATAAACAGGCTAAAAAAAAGTTTACATTTTGTTACAATGTGCAGCTCTTGCACAAAATCAAAAGTAGGGGAGATACGTGTTTATGAGCAGGTCTGGTTTCCCACCTCCTGCTTTACAGGTCTGAGCTTTACTTAAAGATGAAAGGCAAGGCCTTCTATTAAATGTGGGACATTAATTTAACAACCTGTACTTTCCTTTGGTCGGATGCTCTGTTCGGTTTATTTTTCGTAAGACCTCAGGTGACAGTGGTTTATTGAACTGGTCGACCCAAATAGAGAATGCCTCGGGTTTGCTCACTAGAAATGTCCTGTCAGTGAGGAAAGATTTTTGTTATCCTTATGTTCAAGGCCAGGGCATGTTGCCATGATACCCTTTCCTTTTTCTGCAAAAAAGAAAGCTTTCTTTAGCCTAACCCTGGTGGGTGAGTCATTGCTCATTTGAGTGTGAAAGTTTACCTAGACGGCTGGGGGGGATAAACCCCAGCCCATTCCTGAAGAAGATTAACAGCAGCACTGTAGGAGCGACATTCCTTTCCCCTTGTGGGCTCCTAATACAGTACTGACAGGAGAACATGCTGTATTTGCTCTGATTCCCTCTGACTAGACACACATCCTGTCTGAGAGCTCAAATGAAGTTGTGTAATTTAAATAAAAAAATATTGTAGTATTTGCTAGTTGACTGTAGTGATTTCATATGTTTAATGTTTTGCAAGATAACATGTACTGTGTTTATATTTCCCTGTAATAACTGAGCCATAGAAGGTCAACTTATAGTGGAGTAAATTGTCCTTAAAATGGAAAAAACGTAAACGAAAAGCAAAGAAACAACAAGGGACGTATTGTTCTGATAAGACAGTTTTTTAAAAATGTATTTTTAATAAAAAATGTAGTCACTTTAATGCTAAAAGCTAAAGCTAATTGCTGTTTTGAATATCCTCAGGCTTTATCCACTGATGACTAAAACATACTGTAAATCCATGAGCTCTGAGCTAAAGACGATTCACATACGCAGGTTCCAAAGTCATATTACTTTCTATATAATAGTGCAGACCACAGACCGTTATATAGTTGAGCTGATGAAATGTGTTTTTGTTCTGTACGTCTCAGACTTCAGCTCACATACTGCATTATCATTGAAGATCGGCTTTCACAGACTATAGTAAATCTGTCTATTACTTTTCCGATGCATTAAACGCCACATGGTTGTCGGAACTATTGAACTCGTCCATGTGTATAACGTGTATAATAAATCATCCTAAGTCCAGACGGGGGCAGAGTTTTTGGAGACAAAGATGTGAATCTAGAAAGTAGTTTTGTTCTCTAGAACTGAAGGTTCAGGGGTGTTTAGCTTGCCTGCTGATGGCAAAACACATGCTAGTGTCGCTGTCTTCCTCTATTGCCATCTGCTGGAGTGTCCCAATCGTGAGTCTTCCTCTATTGAAGGGCAAAAATGAGAGGCAGAATCCAACCAACTCGCCATCTGCTGGAGTGTCCCAATCGTGATTTAAAATTCACATATTTGACACAATTCACATTTGGACAATTTACCAGGTAAATGTTCAAGATTGCCACTAATTAAGCAGGCATCAGAGTTGTGAGTTTGATTCAATAAATATTGAGTTTACTGCATAACAGACATGTTCTTTCTATGTTCTTTTGATAAATATTTGATTTTTTTTTTTGTATTTGTTTTTAAGCTATATTTAGGTTATTGAGTCACACTTTCATTTTATATGATTTGTCTTGGCACTGAGAATAGCATTTCAGTCTGTGACCTAATTTGATGTATTTAGCTTTACGGTTATAAAGTCCATAAAATGTGCTGTAAAAAAGCTATAAAATTTATATAAGTACCTGCAGTGCAATAGGATACATGTAAGGCTCTCTGGTTACTGTTAAAATAACCTACACTGTAAATGTGTTTCACAGATGTAGGAGACATCATTCTCTTTCTAGCGCTGGGTCCATCTGCTTCTTTCCAGCCAGGAACAAGAACAAGGAACAACACCTGAGGCACTGAACAGACCTATTCTACAGTGTATTTAATTTAGAAACCTACATGCTGCTGACTTTGCCCACTTTTCTCACCATGTGTCCTGTGAAATTGCACAATAAGAAGCAGAAAGGAAAGCATTTCCAGCCTGTCTCCGTTCGAGGAGCGCTGGTAAGGCTATTAAAGTGGTGACAGGGCCACCGGCTAGACTGGGATGAGAGCATGGCTGAGTCACATTATTGGGAAAAGGGCTGCTTGTAATGTACTTAAGCATGGATGAATACATGGGAGGTGGGCGATTTAATGTAGACTGAAGATAAATTCAAGAATTGTCGAAAACTTTTGTTAATTTTTACCTTTTCATACCGATCAGTCGAACTTCAGTCGAAGCGTTTCTTAAAAACAGTAGTCGGTGTGTTTAATCGTGAATTAGCTTGTTTTAGCCTGTTCATTTGTTAGTGTATCTGGCTGAAACAGACAGCTTAAAAATGAAAATGCACGATTACCCTTTAAAGAGTTGCTGTAAATTAAAGTGTCAACAGCTCTTGTTGGTCCTTTGAAATGATTGCGACATTTTTGCACATTTTGTTTTATACCGGATTGAATTAGTGCCCCCTGTGCTCGTGTACTAATCGGGTTTTATGAACCAGAACTTCAAGTTCCTTCTTTCCTTTCTTCCTTTCTTGTCTCCAAGATATATAGCATCTTTTTGGAAGAATAAAGACCTTATTATTTTATGTTGCTGTAAATTAAAAGTGTCAACAGCTTTTGTTGGTCTGTTTAAACTATTGCAACATTTTTGCACATTGTGCTTGATGACAGGGGTTGAATTGGTGTACTCCTTATGTAATGGAGGTTTATGAAGCAGATCTTCCAGCTCCTTCCTTCTTTCTTTTCTCCAAAACACATAGCAGCGTTTTGGAACATCAAAGTCCTCATTAGTTTAAATAAAACACCACAGAACATGTGAAAATGAGCCTAGTGGGTGTAGCCTGCCTCCCATGATGCTCCAGTGCTAAATTGTATTTGGTCAAACCCTTCCTGAAACCTCAAACTTCAGTGCTGCTGACCACTGGAAGTGTCCCGGAGGTTTGTGGGAACTCCTTTGACTCGGGAAGAGACAAATTGTTGACTCTCGGTTTAAAAATACTCCTCTGTTTTTGAATCTAATTAAAACTCCTGCAGATAATCGCTGCCAGTTTGTTGACGTAGGTCTGAGGTTTACACGGAGAAGTGGAAATCTAAATAATCTGAAATAATTTCTATACATGCCGTAGGCTAAAAACGACGACTGCTTGAAGACATTCCTGAATCCCTGTAATCTTTTCTTGCTCTTTTTTTTTCTGCTACAGAAAAATTGCTCGTCTTGACCGTCGCCACACAGGAAACTGATGGCTTTCTACGCTTTATGCAGTCTGCAAACTATTTCAACTACACTGTGAAGGTATGTATGAGATCTGCTGGTACTTTTCCTACTGTTGCAAACATTTGAACCTTTAATGGTGATAGCAATCTGCCTGGAACACACTACACAAAGTAAAGTATGAAAGGAGCATTCTCCAGTGGCACTTTTTTAACAAGTATGGGTCAACCATCACAAATTTTTGCTAAATGAAATAAAAACTTATTTTAATTAGAAACAGAAAATGAAAACCCCTGATTATGAAGATAATCATACAATATGAAAAATGAAAATCCCTGATTATGAAGATAATCATACAATATTGTCATCTACACAGCAAGTATCGGCAAAAATCCCCTTGCAAAACTTCAACAGTGCATCAGTTCCGCCGTCATTAAAAGATTAGATTGTGTTGTATGAATAGGTTATCAACTAATGTGATTTTACTGAATAAAAAGAATCAGATCTTCCTTCTTTTGCCTTGATTCCCAAAACTGCATCAACTTTTCCAGAAATGGAAATATCAATCTGTTATTCTCTGTTGTCCCATCAAACACTGCAACACTAACCAAGACAAATGGAGCAGCAAGCTGTTGAGAAAAAATAAAAACCACTTCATCAGATTGATTTGGCCAATTAAAGAAACCAAGTCCAAACAGGCTCCACAACAGATTCTAGCCCTGACACTCCTAAATTTGGGAGAAGAATTCTCCTCTGTGGTGAAAAACCAGCGGTAAAAAAAACCATATATTTTTGTGGCCTGGAGCTCTGAGTTCATGCCCCGCTCACATTTCCCCTATTAGCGTTTGATCTCTTGTGCAGCAGTTTGTGTTCCAAACTCCTGCAGACACTCACGTCTAAAGTTCACAACTCCTCATTAGTAAAGGAAAAAAATATAGTGGTGTTACGTTGTTACTAGAGGTGATCTGTCCCGTGTGGACCATCAGGTCAAGGCTACCTTAACTGACAGGCTCTGTGTGATTGTGCAATGTTGGTTGTGGCACAAACCAATGAGAATGAGGCGTTTATTTTGGCAGAATTGACTCACTAAAATAGCAGGATTGTGAATGAACAGACTGGCTGGGCAACATGACTGACCCATTTTTCTGCGAAGCATATATTGACATTTATTCTTTTTCAAAATTCACTTTTTTTTCAAGTTTTTGTGATTAGCAAAAGTGGCATAACATTAGCATAAATAGTTAAAGTTAGCCCAAAAGGAGAAATGAGAACTGTGCACCTCAAAGTCAAATAAACTCCTGGCCTGAAATAGACAAAAGTAATAATTCAAATAATACAACAATTAATAGCATTAGCAAAATAGCTAATAGTTACCCATAACAACAATAACTCAAGTTTGTAAGGTTATTGTAGAAATGGGCAGATGTGTATGATGATCCAAAACACCCAAATATAATTGATGGACTCAGCAAAAGTTCTCCAAAAATACCTTAAAGATGCTATTGAAGTGATACAGTATTTATATTATATATTTGGTAACTAGTTCTGACAAATAAAGAGAGATGGAGAAATGAAAAATGAGGAGCAAAGGGATAAATAAAGAGAGACGGAGAAATGAAAAATGAGGAGCAAAGGGAGGGCAGCCTCTGGAGAGTTCTTCCTGCCAAGTGAGTTCATGTCAGACTCAGCAAACTGTCTTTTCCTCTGTGTGTTTATGTTGCAGGTGTTGGGAATGGGAGAAGCATGGAAAGGTGGTGACGTAGGGCATTCAATTGGTGGAGGGCAAAAAGTCAGACTACTGAAGGAGGCCATGGAGGCTGTGGCTGACCAGGAGGATCTCGTTGTCCTGTCTGTGGATAGGTATGATGACGTCTTCAAACCTTTTTTGTATTTTTTGTGTCTGTGTCTGTGATTTAAAAAATCCTTTAATGACTTCAAATTTAAGTGTCTGTGATTTAGCTTTAATATTTAATGGGAAAAAATCCTTTAATGACTTCAAATTTAATTATTTAAAAAAATGCCTCCAGGAGTGGTCTGTGACACCTAAACCCTTGCACACCGGGGCAGGAAATGCCCACGCTGTATAGTAAGATGTGGCTAGCAGCCACTAAATAGTATTATTACAAAGCTAAATACGGAGGGAGCATTTACACTGACCTAGCATGGCGCGGCTCACGTCGCCTGTGATTAATGATGAGGTTAACTTCACACAATTACTAGGATGCAGACTTAGAAGCAGAACGATTTTTAATGAATGACTGTTAGTTATAAAACCTGCAACGACATGATGTAATAAACAAAGTTTGCTTCTGACTCGGAAAGTGAAATAAAAGGGGATGAATTTAATGTGATGTCATAAAACTAGCCAATTTGCTCCTGGGTCAGATTTGCATATAGTTAACTTCCTAACACATAAATGTAACAATCATAAATGTGTTTCTTGTCCTATTTAATGGGAGCTGTGTCTGTTATTGATAAGTTAACAAGCAGCACGAACATCTGTCAGCCATGTGTGAATCCAACAGCTCAAAAAAGACATCGGCCTCTCTCTCTCTCCCTCCCTCCCTCTCTCTCTCTGTCTGTCTGTGGAAGTTTAGATTTTCTAAGAGAGAAGTGTCTTTAGGTTATATGCAGTGAATGTCAAGGGTCATTAAAAGACATAAACACCATTATCGCAACTGGGAGGTGAAGCAGTATTTTGTTTCCAAGCATTGCCAGTTTGCGGCCCCAGGCTCTAACAGATCTTTTATATATGTCGTAAATCAAATCAAAATCGCTCTCTAAGCCGACCGCTGGTTCTGGCGTCAGAGGGCGAGATTGCACAGCGGAGAGTGTCGAGAATAGAAGCAAAAGTTGGAAACGTCAACGAGGGAACAGTAATAAAGAATGAATGAGGGGAAATAAAACATATTAAAGCTTGTAATCTTGTGATATCGAACTGTTTATGGCCGACGCTGGAGTTCTCACTCATGTCCGTTTGAAGGTTTGTTTGTTGGTTTGTCAGCAGGATTAAAGAAGGATTAAATGGGTTTAATGGATTTTTAAAATCCTTGTTAAAGGGTGAGGATTGGGCCAAGAAAGAAACGTAGAAATAATAAAAGAAAAGAGTGAAAAGACCTGCAGTCAGCGGTTGCAAAAGTAAAGAGCCACCAGTGGGCCACTGGTTTGAGGAGAACAGCTATTCTGTATGAATGAGTGTCTGTGGGAACATGAGGTTAATTCACCTCCACACGATGTCCGACACTTAAGGAATATTCATCATTTCCCATATCAGTTATTTTTAACCTCATTGAACAGTTGAATAAATTGGTAAAAGAAAAAAATTATTTAAAATAAACGTCTTTACATAACTTCTGATGTTTTTGTTAAAATAAAATATGCTTCAAACTTAAAATTATTTAAAAAAAAATATATTTATAAAATAAAATATGCTTCAAACTTAAAAAAAAAAGATTTACAAAAATGTGTAATGATTGTTTTTTTGCATCCCAGTACTAAATGACTGCCGCTACAGTGGTAGGAGATTGTTGGGGAATTTATCTTGACCTGGTGTTATCATGAGGGTATCTGGAGTTATCTAAAGGCATCGCGAGGTACTTGAAGCTCGTAAATTACAAGGATTCATTCTTGGATTAATTTTCTTAATTTTTAAATAAAGAAGACTGTGAAAATATGAAATGCTGAAAACTAAAAGAGAAGAACTGACTAAGGGTATCAACCTCACTAGAAAAATTCACTTGTACACCCAGGGATTATTACCTTTCATGACTGCACACTATATATCCCGTGAAGTAGAGTGGGTCTTGACAATGTAAATATTCTGCCCTTTGAAAAAAGGCAGGTTTTAAAACAAGTCACTGCAGGACCAGAGTGAATGATGGTGGGCTTTTTCCACTTCCCTGTCACAGGACGGTTTTGGTCGTGCTTCATTAGCACGCCGTGCGTCTTCCTTCTGTAGGAGCCACCGCCTTCCAGTGAAATTCAGGAATGTATCTTGTACCATTACTCACTTGTGGAGAATGTCCACTATTTACATATAGATTCATATCTACCTCGAACAAGTGGACGCCTTGGGTTGTGATACGGTTGATACAAAGTTTCGACAGTGACTGTCATCCTGCCTCTAAAGCATTCAATATGAAAAGATGGTAATGGTCTGTTGCATTTTGCATTTTCACCTCTCTATTTTCCAGCTACGATCTCATCTTTGCCGGAGGACCAGAGGAGATTCTCAGGAAGTTCCAACAGGCCAATCACAAAGTGGTCTTCGCTGCGGAGGGATTAGTATGGCCGGATAAACGTCTAGGTGACAAGTATCCCTTGGTCCGCAGTGGCAAGCGCTACCTCAACTCTGGAGGTCAGTTGAAAATATGTATTTGTCATGGAATATAGCTGCGTTAATATTTAGTGAAAATGTCTCTTAAACCTAATTCTAGGACAGATCAGTGTTTGGGGGAAACCTCATTGTAAAGACGTGACTTCCTCTGGTGTGAGTCGGTTTATGAACTCTACCATCAACTGTCAAACCTAAAGACTCGCAGGCGGCTTAGGAATTTAGGGGGTGGGAATATAAGCAGTTTAACCTCGCTGGTCCCAAATTGAGGGGTGGAACCAAAAGACTGACTGTTGTTAGTTGTTACGTATGAAACCACCAGGGTTTTAGCATTCACCCTGGCTGTAAAGTCGAGGTATATTTTCTTTGTAACCTTCCTCCTTGTGGTATTTCCTGTCTAAGTGGAGGTGAGGTGACACAGGAGCTGTCATGGAGGTTTAACCCCAGATTTCACGTTAAAGTTTTATTGAGTAATCACTAGTGCTGGCCTGCCTCTCATCCAGACTGGTGAACCGCTGACAGATTTTACACATGAAGAAGAAAAAGATTCTCTGGGACGAGTTCATCCAGTGAAATGATGGCTGCTCCTGAAAACACAGTCAAGAGGCTCGGGTGAATTTATAGGAGAAAAAAAGAACTGTTACAGACCGGCGTGTCAGGGTTGTGGCTTCCATTAGAATGCGTAGTTTTTTAGTAAAATTTCGACTACATCCGCTGTGAGACCATACAAAAACAAAGCGTTTACTGATGATGAAAACCAAGTTCATACTGTCTACCATTTCTATTTAACTAAATTTATTTGATTATATATAATCATCTTTGTAACCATGAATAACTGCACTATATCACACAACTGTTATTAAATAGAACACATTGTCATTTTATTTCTATCTAACTGTTTATTTAACTAAATTTATTTGATTATATATAATCATCTTTGTAACCATGAATAACTGCACTATATCACACAGCTGTTATTAAATAGAATACATTGTCATTTAGGATTCAGAAGGACCTAAAATTTCTAAAAAAGAAAAGGTAATAATAACATTCGACTTGTTTGGTCTGAGTCTGACATGTTTTTACAACAAGGAGCTCTGGTTCAGCGAACGTTGAGCCGATTCCTGCTCCTCGCCCTCACAGCAGCAGCAGCAGAGCAACACCACCCAAACGTCTGTCCTTCTTTATCTCTACACTTCACTCCAGAATGTGTTTGTTGGCAGATGTTCCGCATGTTTCCAGTGACACAGGACCGAGTAGATATCAAGTTTAATGTTGCTGCTCCAGAGGAAGGATTTGGTTAATAAGTCAGAATGATGATTAATGGCTAACATATGAATCAATGAACCTTCCTGCACAAACACGGTGTAAGTTAGCACTGAAGTTAACGTTCTTTTTAACCCTGGCAGTAAAGAAAAGCCACAAATGTGTTTCCATGGACTGTATATATGAAGAGGACGTAGCTATCCTGTTTCAAACTCTGTTTTTAAAAAAATCAAAACCAAGGAAAACCAACAAAATTCTTCAGCCTCAGGATATATTTCTACTTAATGTAAAAGTAAATTTAAAGTGACAGTTGTTTCTACAAGATTTATAACGTTTCTCCTCAAAGGTTTATTTAAAGGTCTTAATTTACGGTCTTTTTAATGGCAGATTGTGCCAGAATTATAAATCAGGTCATATCATAGACGAAAGATGAAAGGGCAGTAGTTTAATAGGAACTCAACTTCAATGATCTTAAACTTACTAGATGATGAAGTGTTTGAAAAAAATCAAAGATAATTGATCTTCTCTGTATGAAAATAATTAGTTTAATCTTGATTAATTGTCAAATGTTAAAATAAGATTTTAATGTCAAATATGACGTGTATTGCGTCTATGACATAAGAAGAGGCTAACTCATGTTTTCTCTAGTAAATAAACTGAAATGTGCGCCCTTTTTTTATCTGAGAACATGTCCAGGTGAATTAACATTATCTGAGAACATTAACGTTCAGTAAATCATCTTCTCCGTAGGACCTAACATTTCCCTGTGAGCAAAGGTTTCAGTAACAGTGGAAAGAAAAAAAACATCTTTTAATAGATGGGACTTTGTAGTGTAACCATTACTGTATTTAAGGAGTGCAATGTTCCAGTTGGATTACACAGAGACTGGGATATTTGAGATGCACCAGTCATTAAAGGCTTTGACATTGGACCATGGAAATATGTTATTGTTGGGTTTTGGCCATTTTTATTCACAGTCACTGATGATCATCACATGATGGGATGGACAGAACGTGTCTGGATGTCTTAATAAAGAAAGAGTCTCTGGATTTCTTTCTCTTTTTTTAAATGGAACGCCCAGCGGCCGTTTTGAGGACACTGAATTACTGCTTCACTTGCGGTCATCAAACCGGTATGACCTCCCATACTGGAGCCTGATGGTCTCAGAATGATCAGAGGCTGTTTTTAGCTTTCATTGTCATTGACATGACATGTGGAATTATCTTGGCCCCTCTGAATGAGCCACAGTTTGTATGAAATTGTAGGGTTTTTGTCCCAGTTCCCACGGCTGCTGGCCAAGTGACCGTCAGGAGAATGTTTCAGGACGACTGGAGGCACCGGGCCCAGCTGGACAGGAAGGCAACAAACACAAAATTATACATGAATTGAGGCAATATAGTGGTGTTATGTGTCTGTGATTAAACCCATGGTGTGTACAACCAGAAGGTCGTGGCTGACTGTAATTTTTCCATCCTAGTCAAAGGAGAATAAAGACGTTTTTAGGATGGGGTATAAATCTTCCATATTGTGAAACAGACACTGACAGAATGAAGTGCACGTAGGGTTTGTGATTTCCTCCTGACCTTCTTCCACTTCTGCCATTTCCATTATATCATGCCTATCCCTGCACTTGTTTACATAGTCTGAGGCTTTTTCCTAAATGATGGGATGCAAAATGGCACCCACCGACAACACAAGGCAAACCCTGCAATCTGCGTCTGTGGTCGCTGACCTCCTGAGGACGCTGGGTAAAACTGGAGGCACTGCCATGTGAACGGACTCTCAAAGAGGGTATGAGTTCCTGAGGCCGAGCCACTTATAACGTATGGATGGCAGCACCATTATTACACTCTTTACTGTCTACTCTCTGTGAGAAAGGAAAGGCCACGCCCACTTTTTGCGTGCTCGGGATTTTGGCCAAAACTTACACTTGACAGTCCAGGCTTCCCAGAGTGAAGTGTTTAGATCAGGCAGCCCACATCCAGAGTTATAATGGCCACAGAGAGTCGGCCAGTTGTATATGACCTTGTAAACACGTCACAGCCGACACTGTGTTGACTTTATGGTCTGCTCAATCACACTGTTTATCACCTGCAGGTATAATTGGCTACGCACCCTACGTAAACAGAGTAGTCTCCCAGTGGAACCTCCACGACAACGACGACGACCAGCTCTTTTACACCAAAATATACCTGAATCCTCTACAAAGAGTAAGTATCTTTGGAGAATTAAACACTCCAAGACCTTTTTTTTTAAATTTAACCCTGGTTAAAAGTCTATTATGTGAAGGCACTAAGAGGCTTTTTTTTTTTAATTTAACCCTGGTTAAAAGTCTTCAGGTTTTATATTGCACACAATAGCTCCTCAATCTGATGTCCTTGAGCCCTACGGGCCAGGAAGCGGTACTGCAAGTGAATCATGTCAAAGTTTTGGTTGATCAGAATTATTTTTGTTATTTCCATTGTCTATTATGTGAAGGCACTAAGAGGCTTAGTACTTATTTGTTAACACATTATCATATAATATAAATGTGTATTCAAATGTGATGTCCATCACCAGCTATCGTAAACTTTTTCTCCCATGCTACAATGAAAGTTCGCAGCAGTTGAATTCAGTTCTTTCTTCTGTCGTCTCTACTGACAAGGATTTAAACCAAAACTCCTACCCATCAATTTAGAGCATTTCTCAAAAGGCTCTGGCAAAGTTTTTGGATAAATTGAAGGGTAAAATTCATTTATTGGATCTTGCGCCAATTTTTGTTTTTTTTCCTGTTTCACTCAAGCCACATTTTCAATTTGGTCAGATCAAACCATTTTTGACAAATCACCTCATTTTCAGTCCTCTTTTTTTCCTTTGGTCAGGTTTTGTTTCAGTGGACCAAGATTATATGTTACAAAATGCTTATTTTAGGTAAAGTTTAAATGTTGCAAAATACCTTAAATTTTTGTATAACATGAGCTTTGTAACTTCTGTTTGAGCAGAGAATTATTCCATATTCTGTTTTAAAATGACAAATTCCTGCCTTATAACAGATCTATGTCTTATTATGTATTGCTTAGTCACTGTGTATTTTTTAATGTTTTCAGCAAGAACTCAACATGACTTTGGACCACAAGTGCCAGATTTTCCAGAACCTAAATGGGGCCGTTGGTGAGAAATCCCAGATTTCCATACTTTTCTTTTCATCCTGTTCTTTCTGTCAAACATACCACACTCAGCCATTTAAAACCACAGGTTTTCATTGGACCCAGTCACTGCAGAAATGAAGACTTGGGTGTGTTGACACTTTTGTTGCACTCCACTGAACACCTGTGTTGTGCTCCTGTCTAGGCCTTGTACTTTTTAAATAAAAAAAAAAACCTCTGCAGCACAGCATGTCCATGTGGTTAGTCAATTTTTCATATTCTCGTCTTAAACATCTTGTTTTCCTCCTCCTGGCAGATGAAGTGCTTCTCAAGTTTGGAACCGACCGCGTGAGAGTCAGAAACACAGCGTACGACTCTCTGCCAGTGGTTGTTCATGGAAACGGAAACACCAAAGTGAGTCAGGAGTAATGACTGAGCGCACACGTAATGAAGTCTACACTCACAGCCATGTCAGTGTATCAGTCAGCCTCATTAAAGACTTTGGGTTGAAGTATTGGAGGCGTCAACACCTTCAGTTGATCAGAAGTTATGAGGCAACAAAGACTTTTTAGTCCTACGACCTTTCGATGTCACCTTTAAAAAACGTTTGTTTACCATCTAACTTACTTTATATAGTTCATAGCTGTCTTGGTTACTTTTAACTTACCTATTTTATGCTTATTGTCAAGATATATTTGTAATGTTTTTCACCATTTCTGAAGGTTATTTTCTCTCGCTTCATTCACTTTTCACTTACAAATCTTACAAAAAATTCTGTAGCTTCACTACAGAAGCGTAGGTGGACAAGTTTAAAGTTAAGTCCTTTTTTTATTTTACAAGTAAATCACCCGTCATGAATTTCCTGCTCTCTTCAGTTCTGTCCCATCATTTGGACAGATATGTGTCTTTTGACTATCATTACATGTGGAGTTATGGCCACAGCAAACCAAAAGCAGGATGTCCTTACAAGTTTTTTTCTGGTCTCGTTCCTTTTCTTCACACATCTCAGTCCACCACCAGCAGCTGCCTGTCTCTGGTCGTCCTTGGTAAAGGACCAAACCCAACACAGTGTTGAGTCATTCCTCCCAGAGGCCCCAACATCTGGAGGAAAGGCTCGGCAAGACAGATCACACAATGTCCTAACGGTGGTTGCTGTCTAATGCTGGGATGTGGCTGGAGGGGAGACCATGTGACCGTCGGTCTAGTCCTAGTTTCCAGTCTGAACGCCAAAGTGAATGTGGCGACAAAAATAATTGATCAATCTTTTAATGTCTATTTTAAAGTGTAGAGAGACATGGAAATTTAAAAACATTGGTACAAATAAACTGCAGATACACAGCTATGACTGTGGTTACAGCTCTGCGTCCAGGGACTTTGTCAACCACCAGCTCTGGACATTGTGTTTGTTAAAATATTCTCTGTTTTACAGCCTGATTTTTTTACCTCCTTCGTTCTTTTCTTCTCTTTTTTACAGATGTACTTGAACTACTTAGGCAACTATGTTCCTAACACTTGGAACTACGAACACGGGTGCAGCTACTGTGACGACGACGTTCTGGACTTGTCTGAGCTAAAGGTCAATTCCTCAAATTATTCAATTACTTCGATCTGTCTTTTTGAATTTACAGAAAGTTTCTTTTTAGCCTCCTCCCTTCAGTCCCTTCCCACCCAAGATGGTTTCCTCACGTTTATCTGTTTATGGAATGTGCAAGTGTCTAGACAGAAGCTGACCTGTTTGAACAGATAAGACAGAACCTGGTGCCACACTCACCCCCTCACAGTCCTACAACAACAGGGTTTATCCAGCGTATGGCCCTTCTTCTGGACTCCTTTTTTATTTGTCATAGAGAAACTACTTGGAAAAGAGGAAGTGTGGCGCTGCTGTGGTCCAGGCCACGGCTTCTGAGGTTTCCGTAAAGGCTCACTTAAAGGGGTGTCGCTGTCGACCAGCCTTGCTTTTAGTGGCCTTCCCAGTATTGGTTTTATCCATAATAGTCAGTTATGGTGGTTTTACTGAAAATCTGTTGCAGAGTTCAGCCAAGACCAGCAACGTATAGACAACAGGCACCAGGAAATGTCTCAAGTTGGTGAAATCTGTCAGGATGTGATGACTGACTTTTACACTCAATGAACTCTGTTCTCTAACTATTCTGTCATTTCAACATATTATTGGATACAAAACTAAAAAATAATCATTTCTTTTTTTCATGACGAATACAGTATAAAACAATAAAATAAATTAATTATTTATAATAATAATAATTATTTGAATACAGTATAAAACAATAAAATAAATTTACTTAAACAGTAAAATGTCCTACATGACACTACAGAACTACAGCACCACTGTGACCAAAAAAAGTCTAAACAAAGCTTCATTTGTTGAGTCCAGTCTTTGACTGTCTTCTCTCCACTGCTGTCTCTCTGTCTCTCTGTCCGTCTGTCTGTCTTTCAACAACAACAAGTTCAACTCCACTTGGCTCCGGTCCTTCGGTTCCCCTTTCGTGTGTCTGTGTCTGCCTTTGTGGAACTTGCAAATTAGATGGTAGCTAGCTGCTGGCTCCCTTTTGATCCCGGCCCAGACCTTTTCGCTCTGAACTGGTCAAGAGGAAGAGGAGTCCAGACAGAACCCTTTGGTCTGGACTGGAGCTGGGAGTCATGGGAAAATGTTCCCTCCTCCCTGTTTTCTGTTTCACTTGCATCATTTTTCTCGGTCGTCTTGGTCCCAACAGTCTGAGCAGTCGTTTTGTGCATGAGCTGTTGTCCATGAAGTACACGTGGCAGAAAGTACACGTGGAAAATGGTGACATTTCCTGTAAAGACTGTGCGTCCAAAGTCGATTGTCTGCAATTTTTTATATAAATCACAATTAGGGTTTGAAAGGAAAAGGCATTTTTTCTTCATATATTTTAACAATGTTTTATACATAGGGTTAAAGTGGCTAACTCACAAAACTACAACTGGAAATGATTTAGGTGAAGTAATGCAGAGGACGCCTGTCACGGACACGTTCGTAGCGACTTGACCTTTTTTTTTGTGTTTATGTCCAGTGTGAAATGTTGAACATTTCAAGGATTTATGATAAACAGCTGTACGTTGCCATGAGCGGTTGTTTAAAATAGTCATAATTTGTCTTCTCTCCAATGTAAACAGGAATATCCCAAAGTGCTGGTCGGAGTGTTTATCGAGCAGCCGACCCCGTTTCTCCCAGAATTCCTCCATCGGCTGCTGACACTGGATTATCCTAAAGATAAATTAAACGTTTTCGTCCACAATAACGTGAGTTCAAGCAGCTGCTCTTCCTACATTTCTTTTTCCTGCCCTACTTTATCGTCTGTTACACATGACTCATCATATTTCCATTAACGTTGGCTGCGTTCTCAGGAGGTTTACCACGAGAAACACATCCAGAAGTTCTGGGAAGAAAACAGGAATGTGTTCAACACTTTTAAGGTTGTGGGACCAGAGGAGAACCTGAGCCAAGGAGAAGCCAGGAACATGGCCATGTAAGTCCGCCTTCTTTTTTAAATCTGTCATCTCTCTGTACCTGTGGTTCCAAAGACCAAGACTGATGGAACCGTAACACTGCACCAGTGGCTCAGCTTTAAGGGGAAGTTGGATGATCTCTGTCCAAAAACGCAGTGGCAGGGAGTTGATGCTAATGTCACTGACCTCTGCTTCTCTCCTTGTGTTTATGAAGTAAATGTTTCCAGAGAAGTTTGGACACTTTGTAAAATCCAATAAAAATATGTTTTTGTAGTTGTATTTCATATAAAATTGTATTTAAAGGGATAAAAGGAAAAAGAAAAATATTTTTAGGTTTTCACTCAACATTTGTTAAACATATTTAAAAAAAACATGTGAAAAAAAGTGTTTTTTTCCTGCACCAATTACAGTAGCATGACCCTGGTTCCAGTCTGCTCTGTCTGCAGTCCAGGTCTTGCTCTTGGTAAAAAGTTCAAACACAAATCACTCAGAGGAGCTCCAGACGACTGTGACTATTGACTCATGATCAGCTTTTAAACACTAGAAATGTGCAAACATTCTACCTGGAGTAAATTAATTTGACGTTTGAAATGTGGCCCAATGAAAATCCTGCTTTTCTCCAAGTGCACAGTAGTTTCCAGGTACTGTATTCTCACTTTTCTGGAAACCTGGACTGAGAAAGTCCCTCACCACCTGTCCCACCGTCAGGTGCTGTTTATGAAGCTCCCAGAGACTGTGCTGGGAGCACATCCCCCTAAAACTGTTGGTCATGTTTATCCCTATAATGAAGAAGACTAGGGTTTATGAGGAGTCTGTAATCTTTCTTCAATCACATTATCCCCCGGGGATCTCACAGATAGTCAGTTAGAGTCGGAGTCTACAATTACCAATGACATCTTATACTTAAGTAGCTGATAAATTTCATCCTCAGGCAGCCATTATCCCCAACTGTCTCTTGGAGTTTAATCAGATCAGGATTAAACAATCACCGCTTTCTCCTTCCTCTCCTCAGGGACGTTTGCCGAAAGGACGCCACCTGCGACTACTACTTCAGCATAGACGCTGACGTCATGCTCACCAACAGGCAGACACTGAAGCTCCTCATTGAGCAAAACAGGTAATCACACAGTCAACTGGAGCGGCAGCAGCAGCAGGAGGACCGGAACCTGGTCCACAGACCTCCCTGTCAGCTGTTGTGCTCATTGAACCATTGAATTCATCCCTCAATTGGTGAAACCTCAGAAACAGCAGAGTGAAGGGAAGTTTAAAAATAAAACCGCCCTGGCTCCCTGTGTTTGCCAGGTTGCATGGAAACAGTGAAAAACTCCCTGAAATGTCAGTTTCTGTTAAATATGATTCAAGCTTTTTCATCAATTTTCATGCTGCAGTCAAAAACAAAAAAACAAAAAAAAGAAACTTCCCATACCCGGCTGTCAATTCGGCCTAGCCTTTCTAGGATATTTAAAGACAGCATGGGAATTCTTCTCTGGCACAGAAGCTGTGCACGCACTAACAGCCAATCTCTTTTAACCACGACAGTTCAGAGTTATTTAGTGTGGTGCATCCACACCAACAGTTAGTTACGGTCCCATTTCTGAACCATGCCCAGGTTTTGTATTATAAAAAAAAATCCTATTGTGGTTTGGGTTTGAAAGACTAAAAGTAGGAGTGCAGTGGAAAACTCCAGAGTTACTGTAATGCCTGCATTTCCAAGAGAAGAGTTCACAGTCTGCAGACATAAGGACTCTGAGAGTTTCTGCTACACAGTTTGTTACAACCTGGCTGTGATCATTTCTCTCCAGTCAGAAACATTTTCTTTCTCTTTTACAGGAAGTTTATGTTTTACCACTGCGTTAGGAGCTTGGCTCTGTGTCAGAGTTGTATCTGCTTTAACAGAATCACCATCTCTGTGCCCACTCTCCTTTTTCCTCCACAGAAAAATAATTGCTCCTCTTGTCACTCGCCACGGCAAGTTGTGGTCCAACTTCTGGGGCGCCCTGAGTCTGGATGGTTACTACGCTCGCTCTGAGGATTACGTCGACATCGTGCAGAGGAAGCGCATGTAAGTCACAACTGATGAATCGCACTGCAACAATGGAATCTTGACCCCTGAACTATAAATACAGAAGATTTCCATCTGGCCCGAGGGTTCGTTCACAGTGTAGAAACACCAGGCTACAAAATCAGATCAAACCTCAAAGTAAAAATGGAAATTTAAGAAGTTTTTAATACCTTCAAACCTTATTTCTAGGGACCAGTATTTTTTGGGTCGTGACCCAGTCTTTCAGAAACAATGCCTTATAATACTGTTGAGTATTGTATGGTGTATTGTTTAGAATCATATTGTATGATATCACAGATTAAGTCCACGTTACTGCGAATGACATCACGAAAACATGTATGTGAAACCTTTAAGATGTGTCTTTGCCTCTGAAGTTTGAATCTATTTTTACATTGTTCTCACAGAGTCACTGCTGTGAGTCCCAGTCTGAAGAGGTTTTAAAAAAGGCAGTAGTCAGAGTCCCTTCTTCTCTGTGACTCAGAGTTTTTTATGTGTTGGAAAGTTAGTTTAAATAGCACCAGATGGCACACAGGAATAACCGTGAAGTCACCACAGTGGAAAAGCCAGGTTCAATCAGCTGTGGCCGTGAAGACGGTCACGGAGTCAGATTCTCGTCGCTGCCCCGGAGTCTCGTACATGGCTGGCTAGTTTGCCCGGGTGAATGATGATGGCATCAAGGAAAAGTCTCCACAGTTCCTGTCAGTGGACGTGCGTAATGCAACATTTCATCTTGATGGAGATGACACAATTATTTACAGCTGACTTTTACTGTCGATTAGGATTTGTACCAACAACGACGAGCCGACTGGAAAAACCCTTCAAAGGCATCAAATGGTTTTTATTGATGCTGACCAAACTACAATAAATGATTCAGCCAAAACAAAAAACATCTATATATCAAATATATACATACATACATCATATATATATATATATATATATAACTATATTACTATAATACTATAATAGTGTCTTAAAAAAAGACAAAAAAAAAGTCCCACCAATTTTAAATAGGTTAGATTAAAAAGACATAAATCAAAAAATTATCATATATCCCTGAGCTACACCGGCCTTATATTTGCTTGGTAACAACCTTAAAAAAACAGGGGCTGATGGGTAAATCTATTAGAAACTGAGATGACAGACTGCCCTACTTTCTCTACAATCTCTGGATATCAGTGTCATCCACTTAAAATTCCAACATATCAAAAATGCGGGTCTTGTCCTTTGTGAGACGTCCAAGGCGGGACACCAGGTCACCTGACCCTGACCCTGACCCGGAGCATTCGTGAATAAATTGTTTTAACTGTAAGCCAATGCAAAACAAGCATTGACTTTACGGCTGTGTCTTGTTGTTTCTAGGGGCGTGTGGAACATTCCCTACATGGCACACGTTTACCTGGTGAAGGGCAGCGTCTTGAGGACTGAAATGCAGGAGAGGAACTACTTTGTCCTGGAGAAACTGGACCCAGATATGTCTTTGTGTAGAAACGCCAGAGAGCTGGTAAGAAATACTGCTCCGGAAAAAACGTGAATAAATGATGTTACTGCGACCAGGGACAGAATGTTAGCTTCTGTGTCTGCACGGAGGAAACCTCTAGTCCAGTGGTTCTCAAACGTTTTATACTCTGTACCACCAACATAATGTAGCAGCACAGGCCTTCCCTGTTAGCTTCCACCTCACACAGTTTAAATGTTTATAAAATCTTTATGTTTAAATGTTGTATTAATTCTGCGTTGAATGTTTCAGATTTATTCAGTTGAAAATGTAAATGTGAAAATATGAATTTTTCCACGTACCACTGCTGGTACGCGTACCACAGTTTGAGAACCACTGATCTAGTTTGACAGCACAAGTGTAGAACTGCCATGAATGTTAATGTCGACAGAAGTCAACAGCTCATGGAAAGTGAGGATGAAAGTGGGCAAGTATACGTGGATTGAAATGTGTCGTCACGTCTGTCGTCAAGGCATGATCTTTCCTTCTTAACGGTTGCTCCCATGGTCTCTCACTTGGGCTCGTGTCCCATCATCCTTCACTGTTTTTGGTGCATCAACGCCTGACTGGACTTGGCAAAGCTCTTCTTTTCTTCCCCTTTATTTCTTGTAAAAACTCCTGTGAACTCCTAACACCCGGCCTTGTCAGCTGTGATCAGCTGAACTCTCTACAAATATTTTACATTTTCTCAACTACTACTGCTCTTGGGTTGACTGATTCTTTTCCCAGCATGCTGTTGGTTTTTTTTTTTATTTTTTATGTTAACACCACAAAAACAACAGCTTCAGAGGGAATCTTGCGCCTTTTCCTGCAGACAGAATTCCGCCCTCTTGCGTGTTCTTAGAGGATTTATTTATATAACTGTGTGTGTGACATAACTGTCGCCCTGTGTGTGTCTGACTCTGAAACCCTGAACTGTGGTCATCATATTTACACACTGCTTCTCCTTTATTTTAGACCAGTCACAGGGAGAAAGACTCCCCTTCTCCGGAATCATTCCATATGCTCAGACCCCCAAAGGTTTTACTTTACTTTACAACCATTCTTACTTGTGTTCATTCTGTTCATGTCATTGGGTTAGCACTGACGAGCTACAAAGCTACGACCAACTTCATTTGCTGACAGTTTTTTTTTTTCATTATGTTATTTTCTATGTCCTGCCAAGTATAAATGACCATTTTTGTTTTTGGTCCAAGCCCTAAAGCCATCAGACCGCTATCCAGTCCACCACAGGGCCACATATTGAGACACACAATCGACTCAGACTTTGATCTCTTGAGCTAGCGTCAAATTGAACAGTTAACGTAGTCCTGTAAGTCTTTGGACCGTGGTAAGAATCCAGAGTAGCTGGAGGAAAAACACAAACACATGGAAGGTCCTTACAGAGGGACCGTTAGTCACCACCAGGAATCGAACCCATGACCTGTAAGGCAACTGCTCGAAAGGTCAGACAAATCTAAGTTAGACAAAGAAAGACCTTTGGTTTGTTTTTGTCATCACAACAATAGGATGAGGTAGAAGAGCAAGTCCCCTGTCCTGATGCTTTCCACAGACTGAGCCACACAACAAACACCTTCAACCTCTTCACTCACTGTGAGATTTTCAGACTAAGTTCCAAAAACACTTGGACACCGTGTCTGGACTGAATCATGGCTGTTACCAGCAATCTGTAAAGTCCCCAGGTGGTTTTAAAAACCTCACCTGAAATTGAATGAACCTGAAGTCTGTTGGTTCAGTACCAGGCCTTAGTCTGACAGTGAGTCCA